GAATTGACGCTGACAATGTTTACATGGAATTGACGATCTGTCTACAAATTTCCAAAAGTCGCCTACCTAGACGTTCAGCTTGAACTACATATCTACGCCCAAGAGGGGTCAGAGTTAGACGTGCAGATACTGCACCTGATTTGCACGTTGTGTAGACATCCAGATATGGTTCTGGACCGACCGACTCCATCTAGACATGATCTGCACGTCTGATGGACGTCTCATGTTTGGTGGGAAGCAATTGTCATACAAAGTAAAGATGAAACTGGAATACTGGCCATGATATATGTCATGCCCCCCTCGTCCGATCCTCCCATGTGTCACGCCCCCTCGTTAACCTCGTGTGGAATCCCAGTGTTATCAGCTGTTTTGAGTCGTTTTCCATTAAGCCTTTGTATTTAAGCCCGCGTTCGAGTATATTTCCCAGTCCTGTCATTGAAGTCAAATCTCGTGTGGTCGTTGCCTGTCTTGCTCTGGATGCCTCTCCGTTTCCTCAGTCAAACCCTATTTCCCCGATCCTTCGACTCCGTCTCCAACTTCCTCGGTCCGCGCTTACCGCGGCGTTTCTACAATAGTCTGTATATATAGTCTCTCGATAACCGTACTTTTAAGTCAGTATAAAAGCCACAAAACTTATATTTCTACATATTTAATATTACCAGTGTTGAGAATGTGCCTGAATGTGCCAATTCATCTCACCATAAATGTAGCTATTATTTTACAGTCAGCTGAGTTAATGCTCTTGGAACTAAAATTTACATTCACTTTTTTTAAAGCTGTGTTGAATCGTTTTAAATTTCAAATGCGCATAATTAACGTTAAGGTTTGTTTTTTAAAAAGCGAACGTAAGTATTGGCTATAAGTGCATTAACTTAGCTGCTTGTAAAATCACGCTAGCCAACTACAGCAATAATTTCCCCGAAGAAAAAAACTCTAACAGCAGTGATTTCAGTCAGAATGGCTCGAAAGAAACTCAGGACAACCTTGACATTACTAGTCTAGATGAGATCAAATTTAAGAGTGACTTTAAAATTAACGTTAGTGTTAGACACATTCTCGTTTATCTCATATAAAATTGCCAGTATTAATGCAATGCCAAATACAATTATAACACTTTTATTAACAATTAGATTACCTAATACATTAAGTCCTGAACTAAATGTGTATATGTTCAACTTAGTGATTTTTTTCCCTAATTAACAGTGGGTATCAAATGCAACATTTGTATAACTGCAAATGTTTTGTTTCGACTTGTTTGATTCCCTTAAGAAAAAAGTCTTATGTCTTCTTCCCTGTGAATCTTAGGCTGGATAGCAAGGCTTCATACTACAGATCCAAAAGATTCACATCCTCCAGTGCAGTAGTATGGCCTCTATCGCCTCCTGCTGTTCAGGCTGAAATCAGCAGTTCCATCAGCGCACTTACAGAGTGCATTCTGTAGAAGACCACCAGTGGCTGGCCCAGGTTGACCAATACAAACCAGGCCTGGAACCCATAGAACTGCTTCCCCAGTCCGTTCTCAAATTGGGGATGAGCGCCGAAGGCTGGGATCACCCACAACTGCAGCGAGAGGGATGGAAAAGGAGAAAGGGTCACCTCGTCATGTTGGGCATCCAGATTTCAATGCAAGTCTGTCTTATACATGCACTAGGCCAGGGGTCTCCAACTCCGGTCCTGGAGAGCTACCGTCCAGTAGGTTTTCTATCCAACCCGGCCTCTAATGAGTCCGGCTTCTAATGAGTCAGGTAAATACCAGGAACAGGTGTGGCTCATCAGTAGCCAAGTGGGACAGAAAACCTACTGGATAGTAGCTCTCCAGGACCGGAGTTGGAGACCCCTGCACTAGGCGAAACTCAACACCAACTGATAGCACATCTGTGCATCAGCGGTGGAAACACAGAATGAATGTGACAATGGCGCCACCTAGTGTCCTGAAAGCAAACGTTTCAATAAGCACATAGCCATGTTTGTTCAGATTAGGAAGTGGTTTGAGCTTGTGTTCTGTCTAAATACCCTACAATTTCAATTGGCCCAACCTGACTGTAGCTCATCGGAGGACGGACATTCCTATGGAAATTGTTCAGGAATGTATATAGACAATTTGGTATTTATATTTGCATTTCTATCTTTTACTTATTCCATCATCCCTTGTCCCACGGAGTCACTCACCATGACATTGGCCAAGATGAGGAATGCACAAATCTCTTGAATCACTTTCTTGGTGCACTTGTTGGTGTTGTTCACCTTCAGACCTGCAGGTGGTGCTGTAGGCTCATTTTTAGACACATTGTCTCCTTCAGGTTCATTTGCCACTGGGGTCTCAGTCGCCGCCTTTTTCTGTTTTTGGATCAGATAATTACTGGGGCTATAAGTGGATGCTTTCAATCCGCCGAGTAACAATTCAGTCAACGCAAACGCGACAAGGTTTGAAAACATCTGAGATTATTCCAAAAAAGATGCAGAAAGTGAAAGTTTTCATGTCTGCTCTCAAGAGTTATTTCTCAACTTGCTTTTGCTAAAAAATAAGATGAGAAATTAGCTTTTCCTCACCAAATATCACTCTGCAAAGGTGCTATAGAAAACCACAGCTAAATTAATCATAATCATGATAGATTTTAACATAATGTTGTGATGAAACTGAAAAATCTCCTAACTTTGGAATGGGAAGTATTATTACATGTAGAGAAATTTTAATTTGTATTTTATTCTGGAGTGTTTTTATTATAATTACTAGGCACTGACAGCTGGACATACAGTCCCTCAGCCATCCCAGGGCCGTATTCAAACTTGTGTTTTAAGTGAAAATGTTGGCTTGATTATATCAAGAACTCACTTATATTCCATTTGTTTTCCTCGCAGTCCGCAGTGTTCGTAAAATAATTTACTAGCACAAAAGCTCAAACATTTCTGCCCTCCTCCTGTCGCTCCCCAGCTTCGTGTTTCTGTATCGGCCAAATGGACTTTCCAACTTTCCACCTCCATCTTTATCACACCTGCCTTTCCTTGTTTGATGCTCAGTACTTTCCATTTTAATTCCGACCACATCATACACACCCAACTTCCACCTTGCAGCACTATGGTGTGCGTGTGTATAATCGGGCAGTAGGAATCTCAGAGCACCCCCCCCCCCCATATCCTACTCTCAGATGCTTTATGAATATGAGCCTGAGAATCTGCATATTTAAAACCAGTTCCTGGATAACATGCTTACTTGTATAACGAAAGATATTTTATATTATATTTCACACTGCAATATACTGGCATGCGCAATAATCACCAGGGCTTCAAATGACGGACGTAAACATTTGTCTGGACGCCGGCATTTCAGTGCAATACGGGTGTTTACTTACGCCCATAATTTGGTAAGCAGATTAGCAATGCACCTAAAATTTTAATGAGCCGTACAATCCATCTTCTGTAACTGCTTGTCCTATTCAAGATCGCGGGGGTCCGCAGTTCCCGGCAGGGAACATCCTAGGATGGGGTGCCAACCCACTCACATACTATTCACTCACACACTCTTCACATTTCACATCTATGGGCAATTTGGTAACTCCAATTAACTTCAGCATGTTTTTGGATTGTGGGGGGAAACCGGAGAACCCAGAGGAAACCCCACAACGACACGGGGAGAACATGCAAACTCTCCACACATGGAGCCATGGCAGGGACTCAAACCCACGTCCCAGAGGTGTGAAGCCACAGCGCGAACCACTGCACCACCGTGCCGCCCTGAAGCATACTGTGACACCCAAACGATAGTGAACTGTATAAATTTGGCGTATCTTTATGTTTAATAAATTCAGTTAGCGGAGCCACATACTACTGTTTCAGTAAATCATGGAAATGATAAGCACTGAAGTGATGGTGACGAACGGGACAGATCAGCAGCCAGAACATCTTTTAAAGGAGGAGATATTGCAGATAAACAAGGTAAGAAAAGGCATCAGAGGTTGTGGTGATGCTTTTTGCAGTTTAAAGTCTGACAAGTTTATTAAACATGCTCCCATTAATATTTTAGGCATACTGCTAATCTGCTTACCAAAGTAAATCTCCATATAGTTCTGGCGTCTGGAACTATCCAGAGGCCGGAGGTGAGGTTCTTCATGACCAGGCTGCCAAGCAGAAGTTAGATATTTGTGTCCAGATCAGTATGTGACACACACACATCACAGTGCCGGTCAACCCATTAGGTGACAAAGATGGCCACCTATAGCGCCATCTTCTGATGGGGTGCTGACTTAGAAAGAAAGTTTCACTTTGTTTCAGACAGGGGGCGCTGGCAGTGAAGCTTGCCTAGGGTGCCACATGACCTTTGAATGGTACTACACTCACACAACACTGCATTACTCTAATCCACCTCAAGTGTAAATCCCCTGTAATTCATGAGTATAATCAAAGGTACTGGCCTTGAAAATGACGCCGGCCAGCCTTCCCTTCGTCCTGATGCGGCTCAGACTCGGGTGACGGTGGAGCCCCTCAATGATGAAGATGTTCTGCAGGAGCAGCTCCAGCAAGCTAAGGAGGTTGTACGAAAGGTCTAGGCTCCCCAGATGGTCTCTGGACCCAATGGCCATGGCGGCCACCAGGGAGAAGTAGGAGAGCGCCAGCTGGCCCACGGCTGCCGCCACAAGCAGGCGAACATCCAGGCTTCTGGTGGGGTTGTGGCTGGTTTCATGCAGCCTAATCTCCACGCGGTACGTGATCATGCCAGCCAGGCAGAACAGCGACATGGCGGGAATCAAGGCCAGGTGGTAGCCGTAGAAGACGAGGAAGGCGTCTTCGCGGCGAGCGTCACTCACCCACACCTGGTACAGGATGAAGGAGACGGCTCCCATCGCGAGGACCAGGAGGCCGGCCAGTGGGCCCAGCAGGATGCCTTCCTTCCGGATAATGCGTAGCATATCATGGTGTTTGTGGTGCTCGTGTGGGGCTTTGCCCACACGCCGGCCCACGTTCTTCCACATCACATAGATCATGCAACCCGCCATCAGGTAGAACTCGATGTTGAAGGGGTATAGGATCTCGAAGCCCTTGCGGAACACCAGGCACGGCGTGTGGTCGGTGCACTGACATTCGGGGGATTCGTCGGGATCTGAAAGCAGACACAGACAGTGCTGTAATTCAAGAAGTTCCAGAAAGAAACCTGACACCAGTAATTTGCAAGTTTAAATCTGAGTAAGGTGCCTAGTTTGCTTAATATTCAACTGAATAAGTGAATTTTGTGTAAAAGTCACAAGCCAAGTACAGTGGTACCTCAGTTCTCAAACTCATTAGAACTGGAATTTCTTAAAAGTTGAACCAGTCAGAACTACCTAGAACTCGATCTGAATCTCAGAAGTCAAACCATGAATGCCAACCTAAGATAACTTGTACGCGCGGGGAAATTAGTCACGCAGCACATCTCTCAGCGGATACAAAGGGTAAAGCTTCAGTCTCAGCCTCGCATTCGCTGTGATAGCATCGTGCATGTTTACACTAGCTGAATACAAATATTTAGACAGTAAAAATACATTTAGACAATGATAGACAGTAACAGTAACTATTATCATACAATAAAATACATTTTAAAATAAAGATTTCTTATTAATTATTTTAATATTAATAATAAACCATTAATACATATAATTATAATAATATTGTCGCGCGGAGCTGGGACGGAACGAAGACAAAGGCGCAGGCGTCAGGGTATCGGGGAATACGGGGTTTAATTACAGGTAAGGTAGGCAAAACGCAGATGGACAATACAATGACCGGACTGGGGAAACAAACTGAAACACGGACGAAATACAGAGGACTAATGACAACAACCAGAAACAGCTGATCACACGGGAATTCCACACGTGGTTAACGAGGGGGCTTGGCACATGGAAAGAGCGGACGATCGGGACAGGACACATTGTTTGGATACATTTATTTTCTTACTTTACAAATTGCTGTTTTGATAAATGTGCTTAGATGTGTTTAGTACAGTATATGCTCTTCTTGTTTTATCCGGTTCATTTTGTGTTTAAATGCTAAAAAAACATATTTAGGTGTAATTTTTACAATTAATTGGTTTTTCATTATTTCTTATGGGGAATATTCAATCAGAACTCAAACTTTTTAGGATTCGATCTGGAGTTCTGAACGGATTAAGTTCGAGAACTTAGGTATCACTGTATGTTGTTTCAAATACAGTTAATAATCGATGCTTGTTGTCAACAGAAACTGCTTCAGTAAGCAGGTAACCTTTGTTAAACCTGTATGAAATGTATAGTCCTGTTTTTGTAAAACCTGCTATCAGGCAAAGTCACAACTAAGAAAATATATGTCTGTGTATAGCAGTGATTTTTCAAAGAGCAGGTTATTTGCCAAAATCTGCATCTGAGATGATGTTCTGGCATTGCGTAGTGGACATGCAGTAACAATGACCTGCTGAGCAGTTAGACCTGGCTGTGGTTCTGCCATTAGACCCCATACCATACTCCAGACCTGCAGTGCTGTTGTCAACCAGGGAGCCATTGGCAATGACCTGGTTCTGCTTCTCCAGCTCGATCTCCATGTGCACAGTGTCCTCAGTCACTGCATTCAGCCACAGCAGGATGTTAGCAGAGAGCAATAGCATCAGACCGGACCTGCGAGACCCACACATGTGTCACACTGCGAGGAGAGATAAGCAGCTAAATAATTACTGCAGTTTACGGGAACATTGTGGACCTGGTCAGAATCTTATGCTTGTGGATGCAGTCCTTTGAGTGAGCCCACAGGAAATATGTCTGCACAGAGGGAAACATCATCAGGACAGTGACAAAGCTAATGCTAAACAGCTTGCACACAATTTCTACAAAGTCATATGACCACAGCATTCATGTCATGTGATCGACCAAACCACATCATCAGCACTGATACACTTAATGAACATTTAAAAATGCACATCGCCATACAGAAATGGTGGCAGCTATTAACTTCTGCACATGTTATCTGCATATATTATCACATACTGTATAAAGCATTTAGTTATTTTGACTATTTTGTCATTTCTAATGTAATATTACAATGAAATACAGTGGTACCTCAGTACTCGAACTCATTAGAACTTGAATTGCTTAAAAATCGGGAAAAAAATGACCTAGAACTCCATCTGAATCTCAGAAGTCGAACCGTCAACACCGACCTAAGATAACTGTACGCACGAGGAAATGAGTCACGCGGCACTTCTTTCAGCGGAAACAAAGGGTAACGCTTCAGTCTCAGCCTCGCATTCGCTGTGATAGCATCCTGCATGTTTACACTAGCTGAATACATATATTTAGACAGTAAAAATACATTTAAACAATGATAGACAGTAACAGCAATTATTAAAATATAATAAAATGCATTTTTAAATAAATATTTATTATTAATATCATTAATAATAAACCATTCATACATTTAATTATAATAATATTGTCCTGCGGAGTGGGGACGGAGACAAAGACGCAGACGTCGGGGATTACGGGGTTTAATTACAGGTAAGACAGGCAAAACGCAGACGGACAAAACAATGACCAGACTGGGGAAACAAACTGAAACGCGGACGGAATACAGAGGACTAATGACAACAAGCAGAAACGGCTGATCACAGGAGGATTCCACACGAGGTTAACGAGGGGGCGTGGCACACGGAAGGAGCGGACGACCGGGGCATGACATATTGTTTGGATACATTTATTTTCCTACAAATTGCTGTTTTGATAAATGGCCTTAGATGTGTTTAGTACAATATATGCTCTTCTTGTTTTATCCTGTTCATTTTGTGCTTAAATGCTAAAAAAAATCATATTTAGGTGCAATTTTTTTGGGCCAGGAACCAATTAATTGGTTTTCCATTAATTCTTATGGGTAAAATTCGATCAGAAGCCGAACTTTTTAGTATTCGAACCCGAGTTCTGAACGGATTAAGATCGAGTTCTGAGGTACCACTGTACATGATTGTTAAATAAAATTGTAATTTAGTCATAGATCAATGTGAAAATGTTATGCATTTTAAAATTTCCTTTGGCAGAAGTTTTTCCTGCATGTTGACCTTATGCACGTGTTGCACATCCCAGAGAGGTTAAGTTCCTGCTGACGACAGCAGGCAGGCCCCAGCAGGTGGCCAGACGGATCCTGACGTTGGTTCGGGGCTGACATGTCTACTTAGTGCCAAGCAGGTTGGGCTGACGCCATCCTACCTGCAGGGCCAGGAAGGGCGCCTCAGCAAAGGGAACCAGGACCTCGGCCAGCGGCTTGCAGTCCCACATCATGATGAAATAACCCATCCTGAAGATGTGCAGGAACAGGCTGAAGGCCGAGAAGATCACCAGGACCACTGGGGGGCGGGGTCAGCCGGGGATATACGTTTACGTTTTTATATATATATATATATATATATATACACACACACACATACATACATACATACACATATATATATATATATATATCCTTTATATCTTTATTTATCATATATATTTTTTTTTTTCTTGTACGTCGTTACTGGAGTGCCACATCGATTTTCATTGCGCACTGAACGATGACGATAAAAATATTCTACTCTATTCTGTCCTAAACGGAAGCCTTTTAATCAGCTTGCACGTGTGTAAAACAATGACTGCACAAACACTTCAGCTTTCTCTGAGTCATTTACCAGTGACTTTGTTTTACAGGCGTGTGAGGAAGGTGGAGATTTGCTGTTGGACTTCAGCTCTGTAGGAGGCTGCAGGGTATTTGGCTGAGACTCCGCTGTGAGGCTGATTAGAGGAAACTGAGGTTTAAAACGCCCCGGCTTACCTGTGATGGTGATACCTCCTGCGTGGTGGTCGGTATGGGGAGTGCGGCCGGGTCGCTTGCGTGACCACAGCAGGTACCAGAGCATCCAGACCACACTGAGCAGCAGCAGAAGCAGGATGAACACCTGGGGTCCCTGTTGTAGCTGCCCATTGGCATAGAAGGCATCAGCCGCCACAAGGGCGGCGCCGAGCATAATCACATTCAGTCCTAGCAGACCAGAGAACAGGCGCCGGCCTCCTGGAACCCACTCCGGTTCTGGGTCCATTTCTGCGTCAGGATCAGACCTTGTGACCAGCTCCACGTCACATTGCAAATCCACACCAGGGCTCTTATCCTTGCCCATGTTCCAGTCCATGTTTCTCCTCATATTGCTCTCTTCGTCTTTTCACTCACACCTTCCAGCTTTCCTCACTGCTCTCTCCTTCTTCTCCCTTCTTCACTTTGATCTCCTTCCCTCTCGCAGCCCCCTGTGTGGCTGTCCTCTTCTGCCTCTCCCCCCTCGGGAACTGGGCACGCGAGTTCTGACACTTGAGCTTGGCAATGCGGGGGCGGAGCCAGACTGCTCGCTCAAATCCCCTCCCCAGCTCTCAGCCCCACTTGGGCCTGTCCCACCGTGGGTGTGGCACTGTGACCTCGTCTAGCTCAAGCTGGAACACGTCCAGGCTCTCCCACCTCAGTTTGCACATGCGATTATAAATCAGTCAACCTTAACAATTACTTAACTGTCCTTAAAGGTGGGGCTGTGAATTGACAAGCAAGTTAAAATTCTGTTCAGTACTGGAGTTGCTTTTCTGACCGTCGATTAGTGGTTTGTTTACGGTTAATTACATTATGAACCTGACAGCATAATGTCCATCTACTTAGCTCCAGATGATGGATTTAGAAGAACATGCAGACCAAGGGCATAGATTTGCTTATGGACAAGAGGGACACGTCCGTACCAATATCGTGGGAGTGACATGTGTGTTTAGAGGGAGGGGGGTTCCAGACTCATTTCATCCCTGCCAGTGCTGAAACTAAACCTACGTCGCTCCAAAATCTGCGGGACATTCCAACCTGATCCTNGACCAAACCACATCATCAGCACTGATACACTTAATGAACATTTAAAAATGCACATCGCCATACAGAAATGGTGGCAGCTATTAACTTCTGCACATGTTATCTGCATATATTATCACATACTGTATAAAGCATTTAGTTATTTTGACTATTTTGTCATTTCTAATGTAATATTACAATGAAATACAGTGGTACCTCAGTACTCGAACTCATTAGAACTTGAATTGCTTAAAAATCGGGAAAAAAATGACCTAGAACTCCATCTGAATCTCAGAAGTCGAACCGTCAACACCGACCTAAGATAACTGTACGCACGAGGAAATGAGTCACGCGGCACTTCTTTCAGCGGAAACAAAGGGTAACGCTTCAGTCTCAGCCTCGCATTCGCTGTGATAGCATCCTGCATGTTTACACTAGCTGAATACATATATTTAGACAGTAAAAATACATTTAAACAATGATAGACAGTAACAGCAATTATTAAAATATAATAAAATGCATTTTTAAATAAATATTTATTATTAATATCATTAATAATAAACCATTCATACATTTAATTATAATAATATTGTCCTGCGGAGTGGGGACGGAGACAAAGACGCAGACGTCGGGGATTACGGGGTTTAATTACAGGTAAGACAGGCAAAACGCAGACGGACAAAACAATGACCAGACTGGGGAAACAAACTGAAACGCGGACGGAATACAGAGGACTAATGACAACAAGCAGAAACGGCTGATCACAGGAGGATTCCACACGAGGTTAACGAGGGGGCGTGGCACACGGAAGGAGCGGACGACCGGGGCATGACATATTGTTTGGATACATTTATTTTCCTACAAATTGCTGTTTTGATAAATGGCCTTAGATGTGTTTAGTACAATATATGCTCTTCTTGTTTTATCCTGTTCATTTTGTGCTTAAATGCTAAAAAAAATCATATTTAGGTGCAATTTTTTTGGGCCAGGAACCAATTAATTGGTTTTCCATTAATTCTTATGGGTAAAATTCGATCAGAAGCCGAACTTTTTAGTATTCGAACCCGAGTTCTGAACGGATTAAGATCGAGTTCTGAGGTACCACTGTACATGATTGTTAAATAAAATTGTAATTTAGTCATAGATCAATGTGAAAATGTTATGCATTTTAAAATTTCCTTTGGCAGAAGTTTTTCCTGCATGTTGACCTTATGCACGTGTTGCACATCCCAGAGAGGTTAAGTTCCTGCTGACGACAGCAGGCAGGCCCCAGCAGGTGGCCAGACGGATCCTGACGTT